ACTTGAAAATTGGGTTATTATAATTAAAAAAAAAGATTGATGCTATTGCCTGCATTTAAGAGAATAGACGTATGAGTTTATATTGAAAATCTTCTCAACTCTGGTTGGCTAATATCAATTATATTACGAAAATATTGATTTATATGATAAATTATATTCTCGTGTATGGCGAGTTGTCACATAATATATAGAAGTTACAAAAAAAGATTTCTTCACTTTTTGGTGATCTTGCCAAAATTAACTCCCTCTGAAATGTTACAACAGCAACAACAATAATCACAATGACGGCAATATGACAGAAGTTCCGTCTATTTCATAAGCATAACAGATAAGAATTGTCAGTACAAGATGTTGCACCTTATTATATTGTAATGGTAATAAAGTGTATTAAGACCTTACAAAATTTCCAGTACGTTCAATTAACGTAGATCAAATTGAGAGTATATAGTTTTAGGTTTTTATTCGAAGGTTAGATCTTCTGAGTGCGAGGGTTTGAGCCATTCTCCTTCTCCCTTCTTAGGTTAGGTGTTTATATAACTCCCTCTTATCCGGTTGTCTTGTGTGCATATATCCAAAGTTCAGTTGGGTTCACTTCCTTGTTTATTCTGGTGGGAGAACCTGTATCATTCGAGGCCCGTTTTTGTAGTTGGTGAATTTGAGGTCTCCTTCTCTGTCAGCCTACGAGACTCCTAATTCTTTTTGCTTTCTGAGGTGTTGCCAGGTACAAAGTTTACTTTTTTATCTCTTAAATTATATATATATATATATATATATATATATATATATATATATAATTTATTCGAAAATTATAATATAAACATGTTATAAAATCACTATAAAAAGTGATCAAGTGATTGAATGTAGGTTCTGCATTCAACACCATCACTTGATAAGACACCAGAAGTGTTGAAACAATATGGCTATTTTTATAGTGATTTTATAACATATTTATATTATAATTTTCGAATAAATTATATTTGCTCTACTCCGTATTGAGCACTCTTTTAAGAATAGTATTTTTTGGTTATTGGAATTTATTCCATATACACCAATCCTATTTGTGGTGCCCCCAGTGTATACAGGGGGCACCACAAATAAACTCTTCTTAGCTGAACGGCTCCTGACAAACATTAAATACGATTCAGACCTCCGGTATTTTCTGGCGTAAATCTCATGCTATTACAGGAAATTTATACAAATTTCAGCACGTTACCAAAAACTGAAACCATTTATACCTATATTTCTGAATTCTTCTCTTATGTGTTGTGTCTCTTCAGAATCTGGGAAATCATGGCTCTCTACAACTTCCTATCCGTTGTAGCAATGCGTGTCCCTTTACTATCCCTTCCAGTATGTGTTCTGCCATCCATTTACGCATGCGCGTTACTTAGGTTAGTCGCTGTTTTCTCTGCTCATCTTGCAGTCAGTATGTCCTACGAGTCTCCAGACCTTCTTTTCTCAAAATATGTTCCGGAAATTTTAACTCTCACTTTCCGATACTTAGCACAAGTGTCATTTTCGTTCCGAATTTCCTAAAAAAAAGATCTTTCTCGTTACTCCCATGTTCCGTCCATTATATTCTTAGAATCTTTCTGTAGAACCACATCTCTCTTGCTTCAAGTTTCCTCTTTATCTGTGAGGGCATTGTCCATCCTTAACTGTCATATTGGATGACAGATATTACATAGCAGTTCAGCAGTCCTTCTTTTTTGTTTGTAAGAAAAATCATTTCCTGTTTCTTATATTCTACTTAGCTTCGAATTTTTGTGTCACATTTTCCATCGTCTACTATAACACTTATTAGAGATTGAGATTTTCTTACTTGTTTGATTTTTTTTCTTGTTTGATTTTCTTACTTGTTTGATTTTTTTTGTCCCACTTGTTACCGAACATGCATTCTGTCTTCACATTGTTATCCTTTAAACCTTACATATTTTCTGTGTCTGCCTCAACACAGTGCCATCTGCGTATTTTTATGTTAAGATTTTTTACACCGAGAATAAATCCCGATAGAGCTTCTAGTTTTCTTAAGATTTCGCTGTAAAGGCTAAATAAACCCGCCTTGATGGTGCACGAGGGTCATTCAAAAAGTACTAAGTCTCACACAGAAGGAAGAGCCATAACTGAACGTTTTTGTTGTGGCAAAACACTACCACTTCTTATAAAACTAGAATAACTAATTAACCCTAGAACACTAACCATCAATTAAAGTTACACCACTACTAACCATGGGTATATCATACCCGATTTTGAAAATATCATTAGAAATATTAAATATAAATCATTATTTGAAATATTTTACATACAGGCACTTCAAACTTTGTACTTTGAGTTAACATTAATAGGAACTGAAAAACATATTATTCAGGTAAGAAAATCAGGTACTGAAAATTGTAATTAAAAATAGGAAAACTTGCGCTGGGTACTATATACCCATGGTTAGTGTTCTAGGGTTAAGATTTCTGTGCAGGTGTTTTATGTTAAAATATACCAAACATTCCCTCTTCGGAGAATCTATCGCTAATTCAAGGCTTTTTCCTTTCAACCACTTTGTCTTATTTGCCGACGATACTTTTCTGAAGATGTGTTGGTCGAAACCTACGTAAAATTAATCGTTGTGATACTTTTGTATCCTTTTTTTTTATGAATAAAATATGATCCCTCTTTTAAAGATCATTCTATCCTGGTGTGGCAATAATAATCTATTTCAATATATAAATATATATATAATTTATTCGAAAATTATAACATAACTATTGTGAGACCGGAACTACCTACACAATAGACTCTTCCAAGTCTATATTAAGTATGCGACACAACACTCTAGAGAGAGACAGTGAGAGCCGCGTACGACTACCAGTATTGGACACTAACATATAGTAAGCTCCTCTTACACTATCTTTGTAACCTTTTTGTTTAATATATCTTTCTTACATCTAACCCGTGTTTCGTGTTTTCCTTCTGGGGTCCCGACTTTGGCCCCACATCAGTGGCGACGAGAATTCGAGAAACTCACTGACGCCGAAACCTCAATACCTTACCAGTCCCACATCAGTGTCGACGAAGAATTCGAGAAACGCATTCACGTCGAAAACCGCAATACCTTGCCAGTCCCACATCGGTGGCGACAGAAAGATTCGAGAATTTCGTTCTCACCATATCAATAGCGACAGTACTCGAAAAATACACATCTTGTTGTTAATATATCTTTCTTACATCTAATCCGTGTTCCGTGTTTTCCTTCTGTGGTCACGACTTTGGCCCCACATCAATAACCATGTTATAAAATCACTACGAAAATAGCCATTTTCTTCAACACTTCTGATGTCTTATCAAGTGATTGAATGTAGGTTCTACATTCAACACCATCACTTGATAAGACACCAAAAGTGTTGAAACAAAATGGCTATTTTTCTAGTGAAAATATATGTTTATATTATAATTTTCGAATAAATTATATTTGCTCTACTCTGTATTGAGCACTCTTTTAAGAATAGCATTTTTTGGTTATTGGAATTTATTCCCTATACACCAATCCTATACTTGTATATATATATATATATATATATATATATATATATATATATATATATATATATATATATATATATATAAGTATAGGTTTGGTGTATACGGGAATAAATTCTAATCTTAAAAATATTATTATATATATATATATATATATATATATATATATGTGTGTGTGTGTGTATGTATATATATATATATATATATATATATATATATATATATATATATATATATATATGGAGAGAGAGAGAAAGAGAGAGAGAGAGAATGTATGACTCACATGACATTTCTTTTTAGCCAGAATCTAGAAAAGCAAGTTGCAACAGGAATACTGACATGTCAGAATGTAGAAAGAACTGCAAGACACTTGCAGGTTTTTAAAAAAGCCATTTGAAATGTCATCAACCACGAAGTGATGGTAGTTAAAATGTGTGAAAAATTAGGAGATTTTGAGTGCAAGAGATGGTCTCACTCAGTCACGAGTTGACTTCCGCCATCTATGTATAGATAAAAGTCTTGTAGGCTCGTCTGTGAGTATAAAACCACATCATCACCATTGCTAGGCATTGCGACTTGGGTTTCAGTAGAAAGTATTTTTTACGGAGATGAGTTTCAAGCCCAACGACCAATCGGAATTTTGAATTTAGAGTTGTCATTCTTCTTGATTGTTTGCCAAGCAAGGCTAGAGAGCCCAGTCTACCCTTACATTTGACACGTTGATGTTTAATCCATAGCTGGGTTCAAATTTTAGCGTTCACATTCGCGCAAATGCTCCTGGGAAAAGTATAAATCCACCTTTTATCTCTTTTACGTACATAAATTTTTATGGACGATATCTATAAGAAACAAATATGTAAATAATAATTTTACTTATCATGATTTAAATATTTCCATATTTTGTTATCTAAGAATAATGAAAGGAAAATCAAAATAATCCCCCCAAAGAAAAAACAGAAAAGAAAAAAAAAAATAAGAAAAGAAAATAAAACGCGAAAAACAAAAACTTGTTCATTTATTTTTTTGGTTGACACCAACGAGTTATGCAAATCTAATTCAAGAAAACGGATGATTTGAATCGTTGAAAATGATAACAGATAAGGGATAACTTTAATTCCACAACAATCCAGGAACTAGTTCTGAGAACGTCTGTAATTCAATTACGTGTTCGTGCAAACCGGTACGAACCGGTTGAATCCCGTTTGCTTCCGGTATGGATATAACAAACCGAAATCGTTCGTGCAATACAAATACAGGCTTGAGGTTTTCAAATTATGACAGACAGCCATCAGCTCTTTATTAATTCGATAGCTCGTATCGGTTTTCTTTGAAGGCGACTAATATATTTATGTAGGTATATCAATAAATTCCCCCAGGCTAATATGAAAAGAAAACATTTATTTATGCAATAGATATTTATTTTTCAACATAATCTCCAATCATTTGAAAGTACGAAATTCATCTAATTGAAG